GCTGGGTCAAAACAACCCAATAGCTGGGTCAAAACAACCCAATAGCTGGGTTTGTCCCTTTTTAACCCAGCGCTGGGTTATATTTAACCCAGCATTTTTTAGAGTGTACTGTACTGTTTATAGTTTAACCATCAATACTAAAACTGATCACAAATAAAATGACATCAGAGACGAGTACATATAACATTCTTTACACTCCAAGAAGTTCTGCACTGAACTGTCTTATCTTATGTGAGGTGTACTTTGAGAGGTGGGAATCTGTTTGTGTGTGTGTGTGTGTTCAAGTGTTGGAATTCCCACACACACTTTATTGCGGTCATATAAAGTCATGTGTGCACTGCAGAGCTCATTCTGTGTCAGTATGTCTATAAGAGTGCTTCTCTTCGGCCTGTTTCTGCTGCTCACTTCAGGTACAGTAAACATACAAAACCTAGACCCTGATGACTGTTCATTAATATGAATCACTTCATGTCTTTGTTTGTAAACACCTAAAGCTTGAGGTGTGTAAAACAGAGTTAACATCTTCATTGCTGTTCTGTGTACTGTAAAAATGACGTAAGAGCTTTTAAAAAACAAGAAACAGGTTTAACCTCTTCGATCACAAAGAAATATCTAAAACAGTTAATTTTTGTTTCAGGGGCACAAGGAAAACCCGGCTCATCCCGAAAGGTATGGAGGAATTTCTTTTTGTTCTCTGTGAATGATTAACTAGTGTTTTTTGTTGTTGTTGTTGTTCATTTAACTTTTAGAGGATAAAATTATTGTTATGCAATGCCACATACAGTGGGTAAAATAAGTTCATAAACTTAATTTCTGAACTTATTTGTATTGTTTTCTTTGCATATGGATTACTTGGGTTGTTACTGACATCTGGTGAAAATTTCAAGTCAACAGCACCTTTAGAAATATATTTACTGAGAAAAATAGTGACGTGTTCAATACTTATTTTACCTGCTGTTTGTGTGTGTGTGTTATGTAGCCCGTGTGCGCTGAGATGGCCGAGATCCACGCGTGTCCCATGAACTTCGCACCTGTGTGCGGCAGCGATGGGAACAACTATGCCAACGAGTGCTTACTGTGTGTGGAAAGACTGTAGGTCACATAAACGTACACACTGACAGCTGGAGTACGTTCATTACTTTTATTTATGAAATTATAGCATTTGTGTGTCTTTTTCAGGAAAACCAAGTCTGACATTTTAATCACAAGAGATGGCGACTGCTGAGCTCCTGCACAACATACAGGATACAGGATCGTTAAGATCTGTGGCCAAATTAAAGCATCTCAAATGGAATCTGTGTTTCGTTTCTTCAACACTCAAAGTCTCTCTGGCTTTAGACGTATGCTTTTTATCATCTGTTTTATTTTAGTATCATTGATATACTATTAGTTTGTTAATGTTTTGAATTAGTTTATTTTATATCGTTTTTGTTTTCACTTTTAGTTTTTGGAACTTAGTTTTAAAACTTAATTTTAGCAGTTTTGTTATTTTCATCACATTTAGTAGTTTTCCCTTTTTAAAATATGTCCATATTTTTTTCATTACATTTGATTTATTTCTTTTAGTTTATTTAATTTAACTTATTTTAGTATTTCAAATTAAATTAAACAAAAATGAGAAGCTAGCTGTTTTTTTTGAGTGCTGTCAAATTTGGGATTAGTGCTTTTGCATTCCCAGTAATGCACCACTGAAGCGGGCAATGAAGGCTAATTGGCCAGCTAAGAGATGCACTACAATGGAAGCTTTAAGAATAGCACAGAAAACACGTGCACACACACAAACACAGCTGCTAATTTATGACCTCCGAGGTAAATCTAGAGGAGATAAGCTTAATTTCTTCCTCTCTTTTCCGCTTGAAGATCCAGACCAAGATTCAATCAATAAAGCCTGCACATATCACCATGGTGTAAAATAAATAAAAGCACTTCTAAAAGTAGTTTTTGTGACAGCATATTAGTGCTGTCAAACGATTAATCGTGATTAATCGCATCCAAAATAAAAGTTTTTGTTTACATAATATATGTGTGCGTACTGTGTATATTTATTATGTATATATAAATACACACAAATGCACGTATATATTTCAGAAAAATATGTTATGTTTATATATTAAATATATTAATTTATAATATAAATTATATGAATATAAATAAATATAGACACAAATATTTTCAAAATATATACTGTATGTGTGTGTATTTATATATATATACATAATAAATATACACAGTACACACACATATATTATATAAACAAAAACTTTTATTTTGGATGCGATTAATCGTGATTAATCGTTTGACAGCACTAGTTTTTTTCATATATATATTTAATTTTATTTCAGTTAACATGTATTCGTTTCAAGTAACATTTTTCTCTTTTTTATGTTTTGCTTTTAATGATAATAACCACAAAATTTGCAAAAGTCAAAGGTCCACTGCACTAAAAGAAATGCTAAAATACACACTATTTTACATACAGCCACAAGAAAGGGTTACGTTTTTTCTTTACATTTTTTATGGTTTTTTTTCTTTTAATGTTTTTCCACAAATGTAAAAAAAAAATTCCTCCAACAAATAATTTTGCTCCATCAATTTTAAATTAATTTAATATATATATATATAAAATGAATAACATATTATATTATATTATATTAAAATATTATATTGTAAATAGAAACCAATATTGCACTTTGATGTACAGGAGTTTTGTAACCAGTGTGAACTAGTAAACTGTTCTATTTCTATTTTTAGATAGTACTCTCTCTGGATGCAATCCATTATCTCAAAAGATTTACTCATAACTACTCCTTAAATGTAGCCCCATCTCTGGCCGAAAGTTCAGTGACTGCCCTGCTTCCAACAGAGACCAGCACAAGACAAGAAACAGCACTTCAACTGTATACACAAACATTAAAAATTACTATATAGGCTGATTACATATTTTCAGCATTCTGAGAATAGCATTCTAATGTTTACGAACAATATTATTTGCAAATACTCTTAATTAGTAGTTTACTTTATTTCATGAGATCAAAACTGTTTGATTGAATTGTGGGCCACTGGAAGACAGATGAACATTTTGATGTTGCTAGACTGTCTTATTGTGTAGATTTATTAGCTGATATTAAAAGTTGATGTAAATTTTTACAATAAAGATTTCTTTTCAAATAAATATTATTTCTATTAAACAAAAATACTTTTCCACTAAAATATTAAGCAGCACACATGCTTTCAACATTAATCTTGAGCACCAAATCAGCATATTAGAAAGATTTCTGAAGGATCATGTGACACTGAAAATTCACCTTTGCCATCTCAGGAATAAATAACATTTTCAAATATATTAAAATGAAAAAACATTTATTTAAAATTTCAATAATATTTCACAATATTACTGTTTTTTTCTTTCTTTTTCAAATAAAGGCAGCTGATCATAAGAAACAACAACTTCTTCCACCTCTAAACATTAACCAATATGTGACCCTGGACCACAAAACCAGTCATAAGGGACAATTTTTCGAAATTGAGATTTAGACATCATCTGAAAGCTGAATAAATAAGCTTTCCATTGATGTATGTTTGTTAGGATAGGACAATATTTGGCCGAGATACAACTATTTGAAAATCTGGAATCTGAGGGTACAAAAAAATCAAAATATTGAGAAAATCGCCTTTAAAGTTGTCTAAATTAAGTTCTTAGCAATGCATATAAAGTTTTGATATATTTACGGTAGGCCAAAATTATATGATATATTGCCAAAATATCTTCATGGAACATGATCTTTACTTAATATCCTAATAATTTTTGGCATAAAAGAAAAATCAATTATTTTGACCCATACAATGTAATTTTGGCTATTGC